TCTCTGAGTAAGTGACACTGGATCAGGCCCTCTGAAGATGACCCTGATAAGGCTGAGTTGAGATGTAACTGTGATACTGCATTGCTGGAGTGACTCGGTTTCTCTTGAAGACCCTGTGATATCACATGAGAGTAGACGTTAATAGAGACTGCTGTGGAAAAAACTGCAAGTTGTTGATACAGTACCTTTGTTGACCTGTTAGATCTGTGGGGAAATCTAACATCAAATGGGGCTTTTATGAACATTTATTTCAGCAGCTTTGAGCGTAGAATACATTTACATTAACATATCTAAATCAAATTAGTGGAATCAAGTCTGTGCAAAAGTACACCCTGTTACTCCAAGACTGCTTCTGTAAAATAGAATATGCAGTGGGTATGGAAAGTATTCAGACCCTCTTAAATTTGTCACTATTCGTTGTATTGCAGCCGTTTCCTAAAATTACAGTTATAGACTGTCGGGGAAAAAAATTGCTTAAAGGGGCTAATAATTTTGTCCTTAAACTGTTGTTAAAAAAAATTGAAAAATGCTTTTATTTTAGCTGAAATAAAACAAATAAGACTTTCTCCAGAAGAAAAAATATTATCAGACATACTGTGAAAATGACCTTGCTCTGTTAAACATCATTTGGGAAATATTTTTAAAAAGAAAGAAAAATTAAAGGGGGGCTAATAATTCTGACTTAAACTGTATGTATATATATATATATATATATATATATATATATATATATATATATATATATATATATATATATATATATATATATATATATATATATATATATATATATATATATATATATATATATATATATATATATAAACTTTTATTTATTTATTTATTTATTTATTATTTTTTTATATTATTTATATTTTTCAAATTATGATTAACAGAGCAAGGACATTTTCACAGTATGTCTGATAATATTTTTTCTTGTGGAGGAAGTCTTATTTGTTTTGTTTCGGCTAAAATAAAAGCAGTTTAAAAATTTTTAAACACCATTTTATAGACAAAATTATTCGCCCCTTTAAGCTAAACCTTTTTTTGATAGTCTACAGAACAAACAATCATATATCCACTTGCCTAGTTAACCTAACTAACCTAATTAAGCCTTTAAATGTCACCTTACGCTGTATAGAAGTCTTCAAACATATCTAGTAAAACAGTTAAAGTAGTTTCAATTTAATTTTAGATATATATATTTAATAAAGCTACTATATCAGTTTAGGAATGGATTATTCCATTGACTAGTTCAACTCAGCATACTTATAACAAAGCAATACCTGCATCCACAATCACATAATGCCTGAATCAATCTATTAAGCCTTTTTAATGCAGTACATTTGTTTCAACCAAACAAAGGTTTGCTGGAAATAAGTGCCTCAGCCTAAGTCGTTGTGAAGTGTAAAATATGTTGTGTCAGGTACATTTTGTTTCATCTTTCAAATGACTAATCCACTAGAGGGCACTGCGTTGTTTTTACGTCAGGCAAGACAGAAACCATACAAGATAGAATGCAAAAGTGAATGTGTGGTGATATCCAATTCAAATGTAAAATCTTGCATAATCGCTCACTGAGCTTGATTTACTCGCACAGGCTTTCAATTTTAATGGCTAAAATTACAAGCTTCTCTTGCTTTGCATCCCGGTTTTATTTTATCTCTCTCTTTCTCTTCGTCACTCCCACAACCTTCTCTTACTTCTCTGCTTTCTTCCTGTCTCGTTTTCACTTGTTCTCTCTCCTCCCTTTCCTTTCTGGCTCTGTAATTTGCTCAGAGGGGAGCTGACAATGAGTTCTGATACATCCTTTGGCGAGCTGAAATTCTAGGGGAAGAGAACAGTTAGCATGAAAGAAACAAGCCCTCGCAGATTTATGGAGACATTCACCATTGTTCTTCCTTTACTGCAGGGTAATTTGCAAATAGCAATGTCACACTTCAAATGTTGGGTACGGAAATAAGTTTCCTCTGCCAAGAGGCACTGGGAAAAAAAAAAAACACTGGAGGCTCATCATCAGGATATTATGTGAAATGAAAAAAATAAGTAAAGGAAACTTCCAGAGGTGTTAAATCAAACCCATCAGTGCAGTACTGTCGGATTCCGACCGCATTCAGACAAGATGTGTGGTGAAAGGGAAGTGCTAGTGAAGGTCTGTTGCTTCACCTTAGCGCTCTGACTAAGCTCCTAAAGGGAGATTCAGAAATGATGGATACAAACCCAAAAGAAATATCTTAATGTTTGTGAGAGTCATCGTGTAGTCATCAGTTATACAAGCATGTTTTTTTACGTGTTTTTAAGGGCTGGATGATATGACACTCTCCAGTCCACTCTCTTTGTTTTTTTATAGAGCCAGATCTCAACTTTTAATAAGCTAAATAGCCATTCATAATATCTTATTCACAGTTGAAGTCAGAATTATTAGCCCCCCTGAATTATTAAACCTCCTGTTCATATTTTTCCCCATTTTATGTTTAACGGAGAGAAGATTTTTTTCAACACATTTCTAAACATTTTGGGCTCTATTTTGTCGGTCCATGCGCAGAGCGCAAAACGCAGGGCGCAAACGCTTTCAGGGCGTGTCAGAACGCATTTTTGTTAATTTACGGACGGGAAAATCCGCTTTGCGCCGTGGCGCATGATCTAAAAGGGTTGAGTTTATTTTCTTAATGAGTTATAGGTGTGTTTTGAGAATAAACCAATTAGAGTCTCATCTCCCATTCCATTTAAGAGTCAACTGGGTCGCGCCAAGAGCGCATCGCTATTTACAAAGTAAGTCTAAGTGGAAAAAATGAGCATTTTACTAGCAAACAGTTAACAGTTAACAATTTTTTTTAACAGAAAACTGTTAAACAGAGCATCTACTGCGTGAGAATGAGAGATAATGGATCACTTTCACAATTAGTCTATAAATAATTAATTGCATTTGTTAAGCGCAAATATTCGTTTCAAAACTATTTCTAAATTCAGTTCTAATTTCCAGCAAACGAATAAAAGAACAATAATAACGAAGTGTGTTCAAAAACCTGAGTTATATCCTAAAACACATGCTGTGCCCCATATGGTCTAAAACCTGACAGGTGGGCAAATCTAAGCTTGTTTTTAATAAAACAAATATAAATATGGATATAATAAATAATACTGCTAATAATAATAACATTATACAAAAGCAAATTGTTATGAGTGAACTGAAAAAGCCTCCCGAGATGAAGAAGACATAAAAGCAGTGATTTTTCATATTTATGTAGGCTAGAAAATAATATGTTTTGTAATATTTTAATCCTTTATATTTATATTCTATATCTATTCTTATTATATCCTATATATATCCTTAATATTTAAATTTTTTCATATGTAAAGATATTTGCCTATTGCTCTCTTGTGCGTATTAAGCAGTGTGTAAGAGAGGCGCAACTCTGCGCCGGAGTTTAGACCGGGTTTGTTTTGGTCTAATGAAAGATCTATTATAGTTTCTCAAAATAGCAACGCGCCAGCAGTGCGCCTCAGAACGCCTTCCTTTTTAGACCAAAACGCCTATGGGCGCACAAATGAGCGCTAATGCATTTGCTAATTAAACAGCGTAGCGCAACGCCTCAAAACGACTCTTGCACCAAGCTGAAACTAGCAAACAAGTATTGCGCCGCGCCGCCACATTGCACCGGGTGTATGATAGGGCCCAATAGTTTTAATAACTAGTTTCTTATTACTGATTTGTTTTATCGTTGCCATAATGACATTAGCTTAATTATTAGGGGCTAATAATTTTGACCTTAAAAGGCTTTATAAAAAAATGTAATTCACAGCTCTCATACATAACACATTATTTATTTTATTTTTTTTTCAGGGTATTGTGGATATTTTATTTAATGGACATGCATGAATTCTGTTAATACATTTAGTCTATGCTAAATGCAACATACGCATGCATGACTACAACCTACTAAACGTGTCTAAATAAGTCTTTTATTTATGTGATTATAGTTATATATACACATTGTAGTTTTATTCATGATTTGACCAGCATGGTTACTTTTGTTTGATGTAAAAAAAATTGTTAAAAACATTATTTAAAGATTAATATGCCTTTATGTAAAATAATATAGTCAATAAAAAATCTATTTAAAATAAAAACTCTTTTGGGAAGGTCACATGATGAAAACAAACACATTAAAGACAGGACCTGACAATTTTTCAATGCACACAGTTTTTATAAAGTATTTGATTGTTTTAGTACTAAATGTACAAATCTTTACAAAAAAGCACTTTTTTTCGCGATATTAGATTGAAAGACCAGAGAAATCTTGTTGCGTAAGTTCGGAAGTGGACAAAAGACTGTTTACCTCAAGCATTTGTATGGCCTATTTTTTAAACAGGAATGTGTCTCCTTTGTTTACCTGTGATTTGATCGAGCAACATGTGACTTTTTACCGTGTAAACAGTGCAGCATCGGCCATGTTACTTCGCCGTCTCGCTCTGTTTCATCTCTGTTTCATCCCTGCCTTTCTCATAGTTGTCTTCGCAAACTAGCTTACATACGGTGCGTGACAGCCTTGGTTGAAAAGTCATGCACTGCAGCACGCAGGTGCGCAATGACGAAAATATATTGACCACATCAAAAAGGCGCTCAAATTGCGCAATGACAAGAAATAATATCGCACCACCAAACATGAAAATAAAAGTAACGAGTCTGATTTTAAAATGTAAGAAGTATAAGGTACAGATATTTGTGTAAAAATGTAAGGAGTGAAAGTAAAAAAGTTGTTGGAGTACTGATACTAGAAAAATCTACTTAAGTACAGTAACAAAGTATTTGTACTTTGTTACTTCCCATTTCTGCAGGAGTGCAATACATAGTATAACCACTGGGTGTCCAACTTCTTACCGCACCTTTAAATGACTTGTCCACCTCTTCCAAAGACCAACATCCCTGTTATTTAACAAATGTATGTCAAGTTTTACTATCAAAATCTAATTAATTTTTTTTTCCTTCTTGTTTTCAGCACGGGAGGAGAATGTGGCAACTTTCCGAGGCTCGGAATACTTTTGCTATGACTTATCTCAGAATCCTATCCAGAGCAGTAGTGATGAGATCACTTTGTCCTTCAAAACTTGGCAACGCAATGGTCTGATCCTCCACACGGGCAAATCGGCTGACTATGTTAACCTGGCATTGAAGGATGGCGCCGTTTCATTGGTCATCAACCTGGGCTCAGGAGCCTTTGAGGCAATAGTTGAGCCCGTCAATGGAAAGTTCAATGACAACGCCTGGCATGACATCAAAGTGACACGCAACCTGAGACAGGTAATCACGACACAACAGCTGCAATGTAGACTACTCACATATAGCTAGCTGGAGAACTAGTCAATGTTTTGTTCAATTTTATTTGCTTTGAAATTTGATAATCTTCCGCTATTTATTATTACATTTAATTGCACTGTTATATGCTAACAATATTCTTAATAACAAAAGGGGTCGTTTTTCATGCGTTTAAGCTAATTTAATTGCACTGTATTTTGTTAACATGTCTCATTGGATATGTTCTGACTTTGTTCTGAGATCTTGAAGCCTTTTCTTTTAAGATTATTTACCAGTCAATTCCTTTCAGACTTCAATTGCTTTCAGTCTTTGCTCTGAATCTCTACAGCTGTCAGCAAAAGGTTTACTTAGTAATCTCTTTGAAACTCTTCAGTGTTCAACTGTTATTTTATTTCAACTCCTACGCTTATGTGAGGTACAGCATGTGCAGTCTGACCAAGCCAGCAGTATATAAACAAATATTTTGTCTTATATATTAACTACAACATAAGCTCATTCTGAAAACGTACTCTTATATACACATTTTTTGAGATTGCGAACAGGGCTTGATATTAACTTTTTTGACCACCAGCCACTGTAGCTGGTAGATTTCCAACATTACTAGCCACTCGCCATTTTCACTAGCCACAATTTTCTTGTTGGGAAAATATATTTTGCTTAAATTTGACTTTGACGTGCTAAATTACTTGATTTAGATATAGTGTTATGTCCACATGCCTTCTCAGATATTTGCGTATTGCTCTACATCTTGTGTGTATAAAGCAGTGTGTAAGCGAGGCGCACTCTGCGCCGGACAATAGACCGGCTTTGTTCTGGTCTAAAGGAAAGACTATTATAGTTTCTCAAAATAGCAACGCGCCAAAAAACGCCTGTTTTTTTAGACCAGAACGCCTATGGGCAGGGGCGGACTGGCCATCTTGCAGTTCTGGCAAATGCCAGAAGGGCCGGACCATTTTTTAAATGTGGGCCGGTCAGTTTTTATTTTATTTTTTATATGTGTTATTTTTATGTGGAGGCAGCTTTTATCTCTTGCTAGATGTGATATTATGATGATGATAATAAAAAAAAAAATAAAATAAATGTTAAGCATTTGGACCAATCGGCGACGGCCGTCTGATTTCAAGATGGGCCGATCCAATCCGAGGTTACCTGGACGCAATCAAAATCTTGCAAGAATGTCATATTATTTCACCATCTGTACACCAAAATAAATAGTGAATGTCCGTGTCCGTGGGTGGGGCTATGTCGGTGTGGTAATGCGGGCTGATGTGGCTACAGTGCCAGGGCTGAATTTTTGTCCCAGTCCGCCCCTGCCTATGGGCGCACATATGAGTGCAAATGCATTTGCTATTTAAACAGCGTGGCGCAAAATGTCAAAGCGACTCTTGTGCTGAGCTGAAACTAGCAAACAACATTTGCGTCGTGCCTTCGCCACATTGCGCCGGGTGTTTGAGTGTGGGTTTATAAATGAAGCCCAGAACCTTCTCTTGTACATGAAGCCTTTTTTCATATTAGCCTGTAGCAGGAGTGTTTGTATCTGCTGGCCAACTGTTATGATATGCTATTAGATTTGGTACATTTTTTGTTCAGATATTGCTTGAGTTTTTTGGGTGACTTTAAGCTTCACTGGCAGGATTTATATGGAGTGAAAATATGATGAGGGCTTGACAAGTAAGTGCTTTTTTTGATGTAACTACTTTGTTTGGGCTGGTATACGGCTGGAGTTTAGAACAGGCCTCATTTTTTGCTTTTTATTTTGCTTTAGGAGACCAAAATTTTGAGCTGACCGACTGAAGGATGACTCTCTTACTTTCTATGTTCTTTTCCTAATTCATGACAGTCACTGTTTTTGAAATTTGCATTGGAAATTTAAGGAGGGGTGGCCAAACTATTTGGTTGGTGAAGTCACAAAATGCTGAAGCCTTACGTCTTATTCACACGGGACTTCAGCGTCAACGCTTGACTGAAGGCGTGTCTGAACGGCTGACGTGATCGGGGCTGACGTGATCGTCATAGCAGTGTCAGCCAATGAAATTCAGTCAGCAATCGGCCACTGCTGTATTTGCATACAGCGATCTGATTGGCTGATGCTTCCATCAGCTCTTGAAAAGTTGAGCTAGTCCCAACTTCTGCAGCGAGCTACACCTCTGAAGCCGCACCGACGGATCCACAATGCAGTTTGGCCACGCCTGACGTCACCTATTCAAAGTGAATGGGAATCGTTGATGCTGACACCCCGTGTGAATGGGGTGTTAGGGTCCTAAATATGAATCAATAAAGAAAAAATATTAATCTTAAATTAATTATTACTAATTTAATAATTAATTAAAATAATACAAAACCACTGGATGATCTTGAGGCATATTTAGTTAAACTTTTAAGCATGCAAACATATAATAATAAATTGAAAGGCCATCGTAAACAGTATTATCAAGTACAAAATTACATGATGCAATGAATTGCAAGATATAATGTGGATTTTTTTAAGATTCTGAATTCAAAAGCTTGACTTCTCTAAAAATTTTCTGTCATGCTAAACATGTAACAGATAACATGACAGCACATGATAATTAAACCACTGCTACTCTGTTAAAATAGTTGGGTTAAAAATACCGCAACATATAACCCAACTATAGGTTATTATAGCACCTTCCCAACTATAGGTTATTTTAACCCAATGAATTGGGTTATAAAATTTAACCCAATGTGTTTGGTTATTTTGATATATATATATTTTTTTCCATTCTAGTATCACTATTGCTACTATTACCAGTACTACTACTAATTTTATAATTATGGATGGGTAAATAAGTAACATACAGAATATTAAAAATGCTTTATTTCCATTTCATTTTAGTTCCAGACACTTTTAAAATAAATCAAGAATCACAAACAATGAATAACAAATTGCAGACAGTTATAAACTCTGCAAGCAGAAAATTATATGCAGAATATGGAGCTCTGTGTGCTGTAGAGGCTGTCCAGCAGCTGCAGCAGGCTTCACTCGATGTCCTCAATGTACAATACATTTTAACCACATCCAAAAGCTTCAAAAAGATGGTCTTGGATGGTAAAACGGATATAAAAACCACAACACGGAGAGGTAATTTGTTAAAAAATAACAACAAAATTATTGCGTTATGGATTAAATCAACTTTATAACGCTAAAACAACATTACGCACGCATAATAATACAGCTGTTTTGTGTCAGTTAAATCAGTTGATTGAAAATTGTTGAAATTCAAATTTTTAACCCAACTGCTGGAGTTATTAAATAAATAACCTAATAAAGGTTAAAAATAACCCAACAAATGCATCAAATATTTAACCTAACTGGTTGAGTTATTAATAAATAACCTACTAAAGGTTAAAAATAACCCAACAAGGCACCAAATATTTACCTTAACTGGTTGAGTAATTGATAAAAATCCTAAAAAAGGTTAAAAATAACCCAACAAGGTATCAAATATTTAACCCAACTAGCTGAGTTATTATTAAATAACCTAATAAAGGTTAAAAATAACCCAACAAATACATCAAATATTTAACCTAACTGGTTGAGTTATTAATAAATAACCTACTAAAGGTTAAAAATAACCCAACAAGGCACCAAATAGTTACCTTAACTGGTTGAGTAATTGATAAAAATCCTAAAAAAGGTTAAAAATAACCCAACAAGGTATCAAATATTTAACCTAACTAGCTGAGTTATTATTAAATAACCTAATAAAGGTTAAAAATAACCCAACAAATGCATCAGATATTTAACCTAACTGGTTGAGTTATTAATAAGTAACCTAATAAAGGTTAAAAATAACCCAACAAGGCACCAAATATGTTTAACTCAACCATTGGGGTCAATAAATAACTCAGCGTTTTTTAGAGTGTACTGAAATCTAAAAGTCAAAAACTCCTGCCCCCAGTGGAATATCATGTCCTGCTCTTTTCTCTCTTTCCTTTCCTGTTTCTCAAATCTTGGGAAGAAACAGTTTTTTTTTTTAATTTCGAGACCAACACTAATCCATTCATGGGTCATTTTTATTACTAACGTACTTCTAACCAACTAATGTACTAACACTCTATATCTTCATCGTTATTTTCTTTCTCTTTTAATTTCATCCATTAACAACCGTTCTGTTCACTATTGTTTTGATTTCCTTTCTTCCCCCCTTCTTCTTGAAAGCACTCAGGCATTGGACACGCTATGGTAAACAAACTACATTGTCTGGTAGATATCATTCTTATTGTCCTTTTTTGGTTTGCCGTGTGTCCCTCTCCCTTGTTTTTTTTTTCTTCTTGAGTTTCATTCTAGACACTCTTTCCAAAAAATGAGGAAACGGGTTTGTATTACCAGGACTTTTCACATCCTCCCCTCTTTTATCCCCCTCTTGGACTTCCCTACCATCTTTTTTTTTTTTTTTTTTTTTACAGTTTTTGTTGTTTATTTTATTTTATTTTTTTATCAAGCAGGCTTTTACGTCCTCACGTTAATGTTTCGTAGAGATTCCCATCATCACCGGGACGTTCACCGGAACTAGTAAAGTGTTTTTCTCCTCACACCAAGCATCCACATTTTTTGCGAGGACTGTCTGCAATAACTGACAGAGGATTTCCATGAATATCCACAAGGCTATTTTCAACCTTGCAGAGCCTCCCAAAAAAGAAGAAGAAGAAGAAGGGAAAAAAACATTACAGTAAACTAAAAAATCTGGGAACTCTGGCAGTTGATACATCCATGCCACTGATGGCATCTCCTCATCTCCACCATTTCATTCACCCTCATACATTACCACGACTAATACTACATCCAATCTTTCACTGCACTTCCACTGAAAATCCCCTGAGTGTGCTTTCTGCATGTTGTTTTTTGTGCTGTGTGTCTTGTTTTTTTGGCCTTCCATTATTATTTTTTTTAAGATCTGCATGGGTGCTTGCTGATTGGCTTTGCTCCTCCCACTTTTCACCTGACCAATCAATCATCAATCCAGTCTCATGAACAAAGATTAAACATTTAATGTTCCTAGTTGACATCCTTTAATGCATGCATGTTGAAGTTATGGTATGAGTCTGAAGTTGTGTTGATGTGTGTGTGTGTGTGTGTGTGTGAATTTGTGATACAAAGTACCGTACCCCCCAAAAACTAAAACAAGTACAAGTGATTTGTCCTTGGTTTTAACATTTACTAACCCTAATTTGCTATAATCCAAACCAGATAAGAATTCATTTTCTTAACCCATCAAAGATGAAGAAAATATTCGCCAGCAATATTTTCTTTACCTGTCCTGTGAACCTATACTGTACTAAACTATCATCAATAAAACGTATCCAGACCAATGGTCCAGAGAGGTAACAGTAACTGACCCGTATTGGGGGAAAATCCAAACAAGATAAACCAAAACAGACAAAACAAAAACACGAGAGAGGTTATCGCTCAGGTTAAAAGCACTTCTTAGAAGGAGTTACTGATTTGTTGTTTTCTCCATATTGTCATCATTTAACAGGTTACTATATCGGTGGATGGTATACTCACCACCACAGGATACACTCAGGAGGATTACACTATGCTGGGCTCTGATGATTTCTTCTATGTTGGGGGAAGCCCAAGCACTGCAGACCTTCCTGGATCTCCCGTCAGCAATAATTTCATGGGCTGCTTGAAAGAGGTAAGTTCTGTGAAGATTAGAATTGTTTTATAGAGCAAAATCAAAAGGTTTCCACTCACTGGGACACTTTTGTTTTCGTTTATCGTGAGCGTTTTACGAGACGTTTTTCCGCATTCAAACCCATGCGATTTTCACTGGCGTGAAGCAGAAGTGTATACAAAATCTCTCCTTGACGTTAGATGTCTTTTCTGAGGCCAGCTTCCAGCCTCCACCGCGGTGACTGAAGCTCTGCACAAGACTTTTGGCCAGCGGAGAAATAAAATGGTCGTGCCCAACCGAGTCTGGTTCTCTCAAGGTTTTTTTTTTCTTCACTCTCCTAAAAGGTGAAGGTTTTTTTTCCCTCTCCGCTGTCGCCACTGGCTCGCATGGATCAGGATCAACTTCAGTGTTTGAACTCTCAGTAATGATTAAATCACACTGAACTGAGCTAAACTGAACTGAACTGAACTGAACTTAAACACTAAAAACTGAACTACACTGTTCCAGTTACTATGACCACTTATGTGAAGCTGCTTTGACACAATCTACATTGTAAAAGCGCTATACAAATAAAGATGAATTGAATTGAATTGAATAGATGGCGCTACACAACTTCTTCTGACAGCTGCTTATAACACAGAGGAAGAGGAGGAGAGGAAGTTCACACGCTTGTTGTTAAAGTTACTGGTGACTCGAACAAGCATGGATGGTTCAAGCAGCAGCTCCAGCTCTAGCAATGAAGAAAGGATTATTGTTCATATCGCCTCTGGGCATCTTCTTCAATGTGCGCTCGCATTGACAGTTTTGCGCTTGAGCGCCTCCAAGTGCTATTTACTGTAACTTCAGCAGCTCCGTGCACGTGAATAAAAGTGCCGATCTAATTGGTGGAGAAGGTTTAGAGGCGGCTTGCAAAACAAATAATGAGCATGAGACGTGTTTTTTTTTTTTTTTTAAATGACGCTTTTGTACCTGGAGTTTTGCATGTTGGTGTGCACGATCACATTGATGCCCTTGATTTAGTCACGAGGTGTTAAACGTCGACAGAAAAGGCGAGCAAAATACGTCTCGGTGTGCACGGGCGTTAAGACTAAAACTAAAGCATTAGTATACGGAGTAAATTAACAATAAGCGGAAATACTAAAACTAAATAAAACTAACAACAGTTACTTTAAAAAGAACTAAAAAATATTTTGAATATGGGTGTGATTTTGCGTGCGTAGTGTTTCATATATCTGAATTTTTACTGCGTACGCACATTTACAGCTTTGTTCGTACGCAATGTTTTAGTATGAATTCAACGCAATTGTTTATACATGAGGCCCCTGGTGACTGTGGAGGCTATTTGAGTACAGTGAACTCACTGTCATGTTTGAGAAACCAATCTAAGTTGATTTTAACTTTATGACATGATGCGCTATCCTGCTGGAAGTAGCCATCAGAAAATGGATACACTGTGGTCACAAAAGATGGGCATGGTCAGCAACAATACTGTGATGATTTTGTCTACTGACAGTCTTAAAACATTGTTACTGTAAGGCCCAATCCCAATTCTACCCCTTAGCCCTTCTCATTACCCCTACCCCTCGTTTTGCGTGTGCACGCCAAGGGGTAGGGGTGTCCCAATTCTCTTTAGCTTGAAGGTGTAGGGCTAAGGGGAAGGGGTGAACAGCCCTTCTAACTAAGATTTTTCAGGACCACACTCGAAACCAAGGGGTAAGAAAATTTCCCAGAATGCACCAGCCACAGCGGCAGTATTCCTGAACCCGGAAGTAAGGAGATCCACAAATTAGTATTTTTTGTCATTATTACGAATTTTTACGACAAACAAACACATGTTTTAATATATTCAAAACCGCGTTCGTGTTTTACCGTCATGCTTAAAAAAAATTTAAAAAAAGCTAAAAAATGCTAAATTTCGAGATCTATAACCCTTATTAAATAACTCCTATACAGCAGTCCCACGGCTTTCTGACACTGGAATACCCTGTCAGTAATGTCTAGTGGCTGTCAATGGGCTTTTTACAGTGTCTGCTATAATGGTAATGTGGTTTTTGGTGTTTACATTAATGAATATGGCCACTGTGTAAATACACAGTAAGGTTACGATCTTATTGCTGCATTACATCATTATGATAACATAATAAATGCCATCAATGATTTCCTGAAGATAAACACCAAAAAATAACACAACTGGAAACACTACAGCAGTCGCGATCCTCTGATCTTACAGGAGAAGCAGGAGATCGCGAAGACAAATGATGACGTGTGCAGGTGCTGTAGTGCTGTCCCAATTCTTAGGGGTACATTTTAAAGCCCTTCCCCTTAACCCTCGGTTGTAAGAGGGAAGGGGTAGGGGTACAAAAATAGAATTGGATTTGGACCTAATAGTAATAGAGTCTGAAGAGGAACTTAAATGATCATAGTGTCCTATTTGTGTTCAAATACTAAGTCAGCCTGTTGATTTTTGGTTGTGCAGCTGATTTCTCAGCTTCTCAGTCTGCTTTTTATACTGTTGTTTGCTACTGTACAGTATATAGACAGCCTGTGTGTACTGTGGGGTCTATTTTGTTGCTGCAGTCGCCAATTTATTTACTGGCTCTTGCTGTTGGCTCCATCGTTAGATGTAATTATAGAACAGAGACAGTAGAACCTACTGTTGTCATAAGGGCCGAATAGCTGTTTCCTGCAGTAATCATGCTCCTTCTGATAAAGTGACATCCACAGCTGCTTTCATGGGGTTTACCACCTGCAGAAGCAGATTCCATTAACTCGCCAGCACACAGAAATCCACGCACGCATGCACGGATACACACAAACACACACTCACAGCTCAACAAACACTCGACAAACACGGGTGGTCTCTAATAACCATCATAATGAAAGGGCACCTTGTCTCTGCTGCTTAATCTGCCACTGGTTTCTCCTCTGCTGTCTTGTTCTATTCCCAATCCGGCTATTAATATCAGCTGCATAGCTGTGGATACTCGTGTGCCTGTCCCTGCCACATTCTGAAACAACCTGTGCCAACAGTGATAAAAGACTTGCTGAGTTAGAATTACCTAAGGAGTAGTAAAAAGGGCAGGCACTCTATTTTAGGTAAAGACAGGGCGAATATAGCAAACCATCCTCTGAGATCGTGCCTCATTCACAAGCGCTGTTTTATGACAACAATGATGGATGATGAACTCTTTGACAGTGTCGAATGTGGCACAACATTTCCAGGGCCATACTGCAGGAACATCCCCCCTGTAGTGTTGTTATGAATCCAGCCCTTGTCACACATCCCGCTCTTCGTCATTTCTGCCTCCCTTGCACAGGGACTGAATACACACTCAGCTGTTTCATCGGTGGATTGTTTAAGCCGCACACACGCATAAGGATGCAAGGGGGGTTCGTTTTGATGGCACTGATATGCTCGTTGACATAAATACTTACTTTTGAGAGATGAACTCACGATTTGGAGTGAGTGACAGTTTTGAGGTGATGCTTCTATGGATTGTTTTAAGAAATGCACACACGTCTCTGCGTTTTGCATTTAATTATGATGATTCATGAAATGCACCAAAGCAACTGAGAAATACTGCAAGCATAACTCATCCCACACTTTGCAGCCTATACTGTGTGCTTTGTATGTAAACTAGAGATCTGCACGGGGCAAAATTTTGAATCGCACTCCCAACCCGCACCCGCCAGGTTTTAGTCCGAACCCGACCGCTCCTGCTTATGTTCAGCATTCGTTGTACCGCTGCCTGACCCACTCCGTTTTCTACCCGCCGCGCCCAGTCTTGCTAATTGTAAACCGCTTACAAAACCAAAAACCACCCAACTATACAGAGTCCAGACAGCCTATAACACGCTGTCTTTATAAATACACACACAGCCAAGCAAATGATGCACACACAGACAGCAACATCACGCTCTCTCTCATTCACACACCTACACACACACACACACACACACAGACTGCAACATCACATTCTCTCTCATTAACACACCTAAACACACACACACAGACTGCAACAAACAAGCTAAACGTAGCATCATGCTGTCTCGTTCACATGCATACGCGTGCTCGCTCGCTCGGGAGTCGTGAACGATGTTGTTAGGCTGCCCGCTCCCATCCAAAAATAAACCAGTTACCGACCGATCCCGTGCTTTATTGGGAAATTTATTCTCGCACCGGAAGAAATCAGGTCGGGTCCCGGGGCCTGCGGGAATGCAAACCTCTAATGTAAACCCAGGAGGCACACAACATCATAAAACGTTAATATCAGGTTAGATTTAGGTCGTCAGGTGATCAAAATTCAATGTATACCCTAAGTCAAAGGACGAAGTTATTTTGACGTCCAAGAATGATGTCAAATGACTTGATATTTGATTGATTTTAGGTTGTGTTAGGAAAAAGTGACCAAAAACCAACGTCTGATAGATGTCATAGTGGTAAAGTCCACATAACGTCAAGGCATAACATGAGTAGACATTAATTTTTGGTTGATTTCAGGTTTATTTTAGGTTAGACATTGACGACGGCCTGACTTTGGGTTTTGACGTCAACCAGATTTTCATTTCCAAACAAAATCCAACGTCCCAATAATGTTCGGGTACGTTAGAGTACAACATCAATTTGACATCATTTTGAAATCCTGTGCCTGCAGGGTATGTACTGTATGTAAACTAGAGATCTGCACGGGACTAAATTTTGAATCCCACTCCCAACCTGCACCCGCCATGTTTTAGTCTGAACCTGACCGCTTTTATTTATGTTCAGCATTCATTGTCTCGCTGCCAGACCCGCTCCATTTTCTACCCGTACTGCTAATGGGCGAGGGGGAAAAACAAAACCAAAAACCACCCAGCTATACAGAGTCCAGACAGCTTATAACACACTGTCTTTATAAACACACACACACACACACACAGCACCAAGCAAGCCAAGCAAATGACACACACACAGACAGCAACATCACGCTCTCTCTCATTCACACACATACTCAAACACACACAGACAGCAACAAACAATC